GGACCCATACCATATTAGAACTAGTTCAATCCTGAACTATTCCCATTGAGATTGACAATCCGGATCAGATATCGAAGGGCTTTAAAACACTAAATAAAATAGAATCCACTAAACCTTTTTGCATGGGTGTAGACATCCCGTTCCCGACTGAAAAAATTCCATGAAACCGAAGACCCCAAAACCATAGAAACCCTAACACCACCATCTCCCTAATGTATAGGCCCTAGGACCACCCAATACATTAGAAACCAACCCCGGTATAGATTTGAGACCCAAAACCTTGAAAACCGACACTAGAAAGTCCAATATTTGTAAAACCTCATGAAATCCATTCCTCATGCCCGAATAAATCCCAAATCAAATTAGAGGAAGCTTTTCAATGGCTCAATAATAGCATGAACAATTTGAAAGTTATGGCATGGAGAAATTTGTTTGCGACAAATGAAAGTTTGGTCCCAACGTCAGCCCCACCAACTCTGGCATCAAGGCCACCAACACTGGGACAAAAGGAGCCCATTCATGGCACTATGTATAGCAACGATGAGGTCAAGGTCAACAATGTTGAGGGCTTACTATTAGGCATAGTAACAATCAACCATTGACCATAAATCATACCCAAATTCTAGCTAGGGACACCATTAATGTATCTGTATGGGGAGGCACAATGTTGAAGTTTGGGGCACAATGTCGTCGGCAACAGTGCCCCAAAATCATTAGCTTGAAGCCCTGAACCACTGGCTTGAAGACCCATCAGAAAACACCGCATGAGGCCTCATGCGCCAGCATTAGTGGTAGCAATGCTGTCAGCCACAGTGCCCCAAAATAAATTGGCTGAATCATTGACCTGCAAAATTGCCTGAAACATGCCCTAGGTTAGATTGTGTTTGGCATGGGTGGTGCCAATGCCAGTGTTAGGAGCAGCAACGCTGAACCACACATCTACAAAATTGATTTCATTAAATGAGGCTAGATCAATTATCAGAAACGGATGATTAGGCACTAGCACCTCATCTATCAGCACTACTCAGCACTGTTTTGAAACTACTAAATGTTAGGAAGGGCCGATGTCAATAGTGACAACGATGGCGTTAATAGTGGCCTCGTTGGCAATCAGTGCCCCTGTTCGCATAAACAATACTTTCATGAATTGGAGGAGTAATAATTCATGATTAACATTTGCACTATTGATTGTGACTTTGAGGTGATTGAGTGGTGCTAAAGTCTGGGCATTGCAAGTCCCAATATCGGCGTGGCCACCTCCATATTATATCTAAACTTTAGGGCATTGCTCATGGGACTTTTGTTTATAAACAGAGGCCCTCGTCTCCGATTTTGAAGGGAATTTTTTAACTCTAGCCCAAACTCTGCATCCCATACCGAACCTAAGCCCCTAAAACCATGAATTAATTTTTACACCATAGCGAAAACTCTATCACACCATAGACACTCCCCGAGCCTCAAAACCCTATGACTAAACCCTAGACTTGAATCCAAATCCTGGATCCTTAGACCCTAATACTGACATCCCTCAGGACCCTAAACTCCCATGACATCAATCATTCTTGCTTGGCAGACTCTGAAGGATCGAAAAAGGTCAGCGCATGGAACACAATCTTGAACCAGGCATCGACTCTCGGTGCCAAGCCTGGGGGCTGGGCTTGAGTCAGCCCCTTTTTCCCACCATTTTTTTAATATACTTATTTTAGCCTATTTCTATGACCCTTTCTAACCCCCAACCGTCCCCTCCCTTTCTCTTTTAATCGGAAAATTTTTTCCCAAATTTTTTTTGCGGATTTTTCAGTTTTCTCGCCCCTTGAGCCGACACTGCCAATAATCAGTACGGGGGCAGTTGGACGGCCGGTCCCTTGTTCGAGTTACAATTCGACGGAACCCTTGTTTTCTATCATTGTTCGGTGAGTTTACACAAGAAAACGAGGTGGAGGTCACATTTGTTATGCCAGAATTTTCACGTATAAACAGTCTGGTGGCAAATGACTTTGCAAGTGTCTTAACATATATTAATTAGGACAAGACAATGTCAATATTTTAATTAGATATAAGTGTCCAAACTTATTATAAAATTGAACTTCCAACATGGTTGTAAACCATTTAAACAATGAAAAGTTTATATAAGGTGTCAGCCTTATATTATATGAGTAAGGTGCACTTAAAAAACCCACTAAAGAAGGTTGTTCCTATACTGGAAAACCCTCAATTCGATCATCTCGACCTCGAGATTAATGAACTTGAAAACAAGGGATTTATAGTCCTAAAATTAATTCATCTTCTAATACATTATTTAGACCGCTTATTTTCAAGATTTTTAAGTGTTTATAGATTTGCTTGATCATTACCATTTCTGGAGCTTTACATTTCATAATTGGGGACAACAATAGATTTTCATTTCACCACAAGGCTTTGCC